CTTACGATAACACTGAGCTTACACTTCGATTTGTTTTTGCCCAGATATTGCCAAATCATATATATATATATATATATATATATATATATATGATTTGGCAATATCTGGGCAAAAACAAATCGAAGTGTAAGCTCAGTGTTATCGTAAGCCTTAAGCTTCAACAAAGCTGTGGATAACGCAGTGTATAAGAAGTCCCATCACTTATTGATCGAAAACAGAAACGATATCTTAGAAGTTTTTTCAAAATTCTGGAAAAATATGAAACTTTTGTAACCTCTTGCTCCCTCAGCTGAGTCATATATTCACTACAGCCAAGTTGTGCCAAAACCATTGCTGGATCGACAAACACACGAATATCCCAGGTGAACTCGGAAACTAACGGCGACGAATCGAATATAGAAGTAGAGGCGGAAAATGCTGAAATTGGAGGAGGATTACTCATGAAGCGTGGTTTATTGAAGATTTACTTCATTTTAACCCTATTTTCAGCTTTTTCTTTTTTAATTGCAGAGTTCGATCTGAAATACAACTATAGGGAGGGTTGATCAGATACAAGCAAATCTAGAAACTTCTAGTGGGCTTCGAACTCGCGATTACACTTTCTGGTGCTCACGTACTATCCGCTATGCTAACCGAGGGTGTGCTTTGCTTTTCTATCAGCTCAAAATTGACAACCACATTTTCATTTTGATGTAGTAACATTAAGAAATACTAAACATGAAAAAATAAAGACTTGCGACTTTTCCTTGCATGTGTTTTCGCACAAATTTTTTTTTCAAGTTTTTCAAGTTCAGTCAAGTGTTCTACTATAATATCAGTGCATAGTTTGTTTCACGAAATTTCGCTATACGAAGTTGAACAATAATAGGGATTTTATTGTTTACAAATTTTAAAGGCCAGATTTTGAGGTATCAAAACAGCAGTTTGGAAGAATTTGCTTCAAATTCGGACATTCGCAGCGCTAACGGCGTGGAACAACAATGAGGCCAATGAGTCAAATATAAGCACAAATATTCGAGATCATAGAGCTCGGTGTAAACATATCAGCTGTTTACAAACATTTAAAGAAAGCAAAGTCAAAGAAGCTTGGAGATTTCTCACGAATTAAATGAAAATCCAAAAAGTTGCCGGTTTTAAAGTATTGTAGGCGCATCGCAAAAAGAACAACCCGTTTCTTGGGCGCATTGTGTAAGATTCGTAGAACCCAGAAGTGCCTCGCAACATAACGTGGTGATTGGTTCGACTCTTGGGTAAACCGAGCCTTCTCTTCCTCAAGAGTCTAAAAATCGGTGCTACACTTGTTTGTTAGGCTAACAGCACCTGAAATGATAAACCGGTAGGCCACCCAAGTCGTTTTATAGGTGAGATATGCATGCAATCACTTTTAGCGATGTTTTTTGAAGTCGAATTCTTGGTGCATTCCTCAAGGATTGACCAACACAGAACGGTTTAGCCTTTGTCGTACATCCCATTTGAGACTTGTGACGAGAAATGAATTCTCTGTAACAACCGCTGACGATCAGCAAAGAGAGTACCAGTCCATTCTATAGCAACCTAACGTTATTATTTTTATGGACACAAAAAAAAATCCCACGAAAACTTCCTAGTAAACGCAAACACAAGTGTTATTATACCTATTGCTTACACTGAACGCTATGGGAAGCTAGATGTTAATAAGACCAGAAAAAAATAGCGGTTTTCATATGAAGTCGTTAATAATGGAGAAAACAGTAACGCCTGAACGCATAACAAACTGAGAGTATTTGGAACATCCGTATCTGTGACGAAAATACACCACTGGAAACCTTCGAAAGGATTTCTTCGTGTACCAGCCAACTAATATGAACTAATCTGAACAACTAATAACTCGAATTGGAATTTGCGATTGAAATGATGTAAGTCACCACCGCGTTTTACGATACCTGTCGTTAACGTACGTTTCATTTCTACGGTGGAATTTTTGTGAACATACTGCGATAAGAATAATGACGATCGTCTCGTTCAATATTCTCACAACACAGTTGAGGAAGCCAACATTTTAAGAGTCATGAAAAGACGGTTTCCTTCGGAAGTCCTAGCTCTAACGTGCTACTGCATTCACGCCTCATTGACATGACTCTGCGCCAACAGATGCGTAAGGAAATTACACTCTATAGAAGTAATACTGGAAGAGTGTTATCGAGCGCCCTATAGAGATGTGATGCAAAAAGCCATACTAATGAAACGATTAAGAACGATGTCGTGCAGTGTCAAAAATTGAGTGGGTCAGACAATGATCAGTGTTAATGAAAAGCTTTACATGAGATCCTTGAGCAGTTAGGTTTCACGCGATGATAAATACACACCAAGACAGTGATCAACCCGATTACCACTGAAAAAATGAGGTTCGCAGTACAAACTTAGATAGTCAAATTGACAGCAGCTACACATAGATGATGAAGCGTAAAGAAATCGATATTTACGTCCAGTGTTTCAGGCACAATGGCGGTTCAGATCTGACTTTAGTCGCACAGCAACGATGGCTTTTCCGAAGGAGGTGGCGTAGCATAGAACAGTTTACTATTTCCTCGTGAAACAACGAACCCAATAACGTTTGATGTTTCAGGCAGTTAAGCACAGTCTATTGCAGTCCAGGATCAATAATCGAGATTAGCCGCGGTTGCATACGCACCTGGCTCCCGCTGCTAATGTAAGCCAGATGCTTTCGAAGGCTGAGACATGCCATCACTCACCTTATCCCCGATTGGTAGCGCGGATAATCCACTCCTCACAACATCATCCCCAGTCATCCTCAATCACCCTCATTCACCTCAAGTCATTCTCAGTCATCGTCAGTAATCCGTAGATTCGTATATCGTAGAATCCGTATATCTCGTTTCTCAGCTTTTTTACGGTACGATGTCAGTAGTGGCGGATGTTTCCAAATGCGTTCTGTTTGCAACGCCATTGGTGGCATGTACCATTCCTCCCACAAGTACAACGCCGCTGAGCGGCCAACTTACGCTATGTATTTTGTTAAGCTATTGGCTTATCAGTTTCAGTCATTATCATTATGATCCTTGACTCTTAGGCAGCGGTGGTACCCATCGATGCTCAACCTTCACGTTGCAGACATAGCGTTATCCACGACCAGCCAGCCGCTAGACTGTGTTCCGTAGATGACTCATCATTCGTTGCCCGTAGCGCCGTGAGTGCTCATGTAATTTACCTTCCTCATCGATCATGCTAAAATGCACCCCACCGTTATAATGTTGACTCCTAGCTCAGCCGAAAACACGGCTCGTCTGTATCCATCCCCGCCCAGCACACTGCCTCCCTTAGTCGCCGCACCGGCCGCGGACAGTCCGGGAGCGCAGCATCGGTCACGGCTAACCAGCGGTTATTTGTATCTAATCACTCATTATTACTGTTATTTCTGTGTTAATGATGTAGTAATATTCAAATGCTATTATCTCGTTGTTAGCCTCACTTCACCACTAGCCATACCACCTCATAACTTTAACTTGCATGATTCTTGTACCACTACTTCGCTATCGTTACTATTATGTTATTAATGTTGTATTTATGTATGTAAACGGTTTAATTAGCCCCGTTTGAAGCCGGCAGATCAGTACAATAACTAAAAGACCAGCGTGGCAAATCTTCTACACGATCTGGACCGCTTCTCTTCGCAGCTAACTTTTCGTTGCTTAGAGTAGTTGAATATAGAGTTTACTTATGTAACGACTTTTGTAGATATTAAAGTATCAAGCCTTTGTTTTCTACCTTTCTGATCATGTATGGTGCTAATTTTATCGATCTTTAAGCCATGGAGTGGTTAGCCAGTGAGCAGTGCGGGATCGAATCAAAGACCATGCATGCACTGCAGAGCAACTCTAATAACAATGTAATCACTTTTTATTTACTCCCTATTCTTTTTTCATGGTTGGGTACGATGTGAAACATAACCACAATGATGTTGAGATATTTGCAAACTCTGGACAGCAGGTGTTTCGCCAGAAAGGAGAAAAGAAGGACCAACATGGTGTGATGGTGAACATGTTAGCCCCCGGAAAGTGTAATTGCCTGGTCGATCCCATCCCCACCGCAGACACCTGCGGTCCGGAGTTTTGCAAACACCTCAGCATCTGCAGTAAGCAGACACGAGGTTGTTATTATAGAATTTATTTGAATACAATCGCTAACGTTTTGGCGGTTTCGCCTTCATCAGAGCCTGGAAAGCTCAAATTGAGATGCGACCTATTAATCAACGCCGAGGTTAACAGAAAGTCGGTCTTGGGAATTGCTACGTGAAGTGCCATCTCAGCATCCTTGTGTTTATACTGTACCTCTAATGACTTCGATGTTGATAAAGTGTGTACCCACAAATGCTGAATAATATGATTCGAGAAATGACAACCTCATTAGTTGGGATTATCACTATGGACAGTATGTATTCTTTCTTATACAAGGTTGATAATGATGTTTATTTTCGGCTAACTTTTCGACGTCTTCGTCTTCCTCAGGGCCGATGATCCGAGTCGATGGTCCATGCTCGTTATTCGTCTCGACGTGGCAGCTTCGCCTTCGTGTCGAGTCAGGTCTTCTTCAGTGAGCCATCTCCTCGAATGAGGCATACTCATTTAGTGATGCCCTTTTATACACGATGCTGATGGTCGATATAATGATAATGTCCAGTAATAACAACTTGTTTTTCTTCCGGACATAATCATCGCGCACTTCGTGCAGAAGTCGGTGTTAGTATCAGCTGGCACAAAGCGTAGTAATATTTCGAAACCGACTTTCCTTGAACCTCGGTTTCGAAATATAAACTATGGACAGTATTTATCAATTGTGATAGACACTTGTGATATAAAAACCCAGCAATAGATTCTAGCCTACCACCTTCTACTTAAATTGCAAAGCTATATGCTAACAAACATTCCCCTTGTAATCGTTCAAAGTATGTGTGCTTCTTATTGGGATGTCCCATATGTTTGCATACTTTTTCAATCCATTTCCAGTAATTAACAATATCAGAAATCGCTTTGCATTAAAAGTCCATCACCTGATCGGGTTTTAGTTTCAAACACACGATTAGACGAATTCACTGAACTGCTACTGAACGATCCAGAAAACTCGGACAATTCATCTTCTTCACGCACTGCACATAAGCCGCGTGGTGGCTGAAATAAACGAGAACGATTGTTTGCAGTTAAGAAATTCACCAAGACGAAGGATTTTAGGCTTTTTCCCCCAGAGTACTCTAGCTTCTCGTTCCTTTCAATTCCAATTTTTAATGTGCAATTTTTTTGCCACTTTTAGAGAAAAACCGCTTTCACAACTCGCCTAGAAACTAAGGTTGACAAAAATGGCTCACAATAACCACTAATGTGGCAAAACCTACCGTTTTGGCATCCCTTCCCAAGATTGGCCTTCCTTTGGGCAATTCCACATCATCATCAGATATATCCAGAATTCCTTTGAGTAAATCGGCTGGTAGTGAGCTGCTGAAACCATAACCGGACCACAGATCGGTGGGATAGCGTGGGGCTTTGGAAAGGGCATTGTCGTCGAATACTGCTGAAGCTTATGAGTGTTAAGCACACACCAACTGTTCACAACAATCCTTTGTTCAAACCTTGCGTTGCTTTCAAGAGCATCCGTTCTCGGTCCGCTCGCAGCGCTACCGTTTTGTTCCAGAGATCACTGAAATCATTTATATCTTTATTTGGCTTATCTAAATATCTTAGTACCATCTACCGACTTATTTATTTCCAGAAATAACTCTCATTCTACATCTGCTGAGCTCATCTAAAAATATTAGCTTATTTCTCTCTATTTGTTAATCTTCAGAGATCACTGGAATTGTTATTTCTATCTGCATTCGGAACATTTAAAGCATATTAGCGGAGCGGTTTTGATTTACGTCAAAACAAGTAAGCTCCACTACTACTCTAACAACACATGGAAACGATATTTAGAATCTCTAATTATAGGTAGTCAAGATAAACAGACTCATTCTGCTGATATCGAATGATTCTTTGATATATTTGCAACAATTACGATGATTACGGCGAAACTACCAGGAACTCAGAATCTTTTTGAGATACCACAATGAAAAGCACGAAGGTGAGACCTAAGTAAATGTCTCTTAGAATCTTCCATTCAAGGAATTATGATGGAATCTGAAACAAATTTCTACTACATTATTACTGAGAGATGAAAACGTCACACGGTAAACTCCACTCTTGATACCGGCACAAGACCTATTGCCGCCCTTTAGCATATAACTATCATTAGCGACGAACTGTACCAACCTCTGTTACACCTTGAATTAAAATGGCAACGACGTGACAAACAGCTTCACAAAAGTGCGCAGAATGCGAAACTTTGAAAGTCTCAACAGAACCCTCAATGGTTCCTCGATCTGTCACCCTAGGAAAAAGCGGCTTGGACTGTTGAAAACTGCCTTTTTCAACTTGCAAAGTGTTACAAGAAAACGACAACAGATTTCAGTGTAGTGTGAAATAACAAGAGTGGCTGCAACCGTAAATGATGGAAAAGGCATCGGCAACTAATGCCAGGATCTTTTCAGTTACGTTGTCAAGGTCTGCGCTCTTTGCAATACCGTCTCTTCTGCAGCTATGGCATATCTAGCCTTCTAGATCCCGAAGATATGAAGGTGTCATCTAAGCAGCCTTTCATCGTCAGCAAACCTTTATGACTCATAAAGCCCCAGTCTGACATAGCATTTGGCGACGGACAGTTTGCGAACAAGTGGTGTTTCGGGGAGGATTAAAGTGTTTATATCTACGAGAGCTTTAAAGCGAATGAAGTTCAGAGTACAGAAATGTCGGCATCGCACTTTTATCTACTCTGCAAGTGCATTAGGCTCATTTGAACCAGAAAGCAGTTATGAAAGCTTTCAACTACTACAACGTTCATATTTGGTGCACAGCAATCTTTTATGAGGTATGCTACAATTTCGCAACCAGACTTATTATGTTGTAAAAAACCTTTCATATTTTTTAATCTCTAGAAGTCCCTGAGTAAACTGCAGTAGAATTACATGACGCGGAAGTTGTTGACCGGCAGCTACACTGTCTTCAGTTGGCGGGTGATATCAAGTGGTAACATTAAATGTTTTTACATAACTTTTAATCCACTCTGCGGATCCAAACACTTCTTTCAATTCGATTCGCTTTCCACGCATTAATCGTTCACGAATGTCTCCGAATACTCCGTATAGTTTCGGTTGGTGCTTGACAATTTCGTCTGCGTTATGAATGTCGTAGGTTGCTGGTCGAGCCGATTCGCCTTGCAATCTTGGAGATTACCGGGATAAGGTGATTCCGCATGGATTGGAGAATAGAGTAGGGTTGGAGCTCGAACCAGCACCTTGCCTCCTGATGGACAGCTCCGTTAACTACTGCGCTACCTCCACACCACCGTTAAATATTGCCATGCATAATGAATAGTTATCGATTTAGGACTACTAAATATGGGACTGTTACTCTCTGATTTAAGCAGAGAAAATTTATCTTTGCCAGAAACTGATTTATCATACATGTTTCATTCATTCTTGACCTGAAAAGGGATCTGCGAATGCTCCAGCTGTGTACTAGGCAACGAACAAAATTATACGCTACTTTTTAAACTGACATCTATTCAAATTTTAGTTATAATATGTACGCCACATGTCCATTCCAATCAGAGTCGGCCAGATTGAGAGAAATTTTGACCTTTTTCAGCAAAAATTCAACTAACAGCAAACCTGTCTTATGAACCGCCACCTTTCCGGGGGGAACCTAGACCTAGAGTGCCGAACGGTTTTCCTTATGTGGACAGCCGTCTACTGTGACGAATTGAGAATACCCTGGGTGAGACAGCTCGATATTTCATGGAAAAACAAATGTCCTAGTTCAGATACCTCGGTATTCCATTGAAAAAAATTTGCTCGATTAGCAATGAATTATCCTCCGTAGTTACACCTAGAACACTGAAGGAGTCTTTTTGCTAAGATCTTTACTTTGCGCTAAAAGTAACAATTTACACAGGGTTACTCTGCAAATTAACTATATTGATTCGCACAAATCTCATTTGACCGTCCACAGTACTAACCAACACGTTAAAAACGGTCATTATCACTAAATTTTACTCATCAAGAACACAGAGCAAAATTTCCGAGTTGTCACCATGAAGCAGAAGAGTTGACGCTTCAACATTCTCATAACCCTAGCAGTACTTATTAGGTAAAAACCTCTTGGATTTTTCCTTTTGAACTCTAAGCGGCGACCGAAAATGGCATGAAAGAGAGGGGCCATTGAGTAGGAAGAAACGAACTGTATCCATTACACCAATATGAAAGCCTATAATCGGAACGAAGGGAATTGAGCCAAGTAGATGATCTTTCGTACAGTCATCTTGGCCCATAATTCGATTTTGCTGCTGAGGATGTTCTATGAACTCCTTACAAGGATATTTTTCTTTGGCGAAATCAAGGACTTTAGGTGAGGTCGAAAGCGAGGAGGATTGTGGTAAAAGCACATTTCTAGCGAGCAAGTGAAAATTGGTGGTTTGAATAGAACTCAAAATTTGTAACTCACTCATTTTCAAGGGGTTAATTTATGAGCACTACAAGTTATCGTTTCATTAGTATTCGAAACGCCATCACAGTATTTCGTACAACAAAATCGTGACTAAACAATAAAAAATAAGATTTTCACTCACTGCTTCTTATTGTATTCCTTAGCACCTTTTAATATGGAACTGGCGATTGGTGAGTCTAAAGGATCTGGACTTTTCGGAGTCTCTGGAAACGCGTCGAATAACGAACACAAAGGAGCGACCGGATTATCTTCGGAACCTAAGCTATGGTAGCAGGATGAAAACAATCAAACAATATGTGGGGAAAATGCTCTCACCAATTGGATATTAGCACATATTTAGATACATTATAGAGTTTATGGCACGACTATACTATAAATACTCGACTACTCCATCAAACCCTCCTTCGAGCGCAAGCTAATATGGGGAGCATATTTACGCCACATGGGCAGCACCAATGGATGTAATACTTGTTAAAGTTTAAGATGCAGACTAAGAAGGCCGTGCACTACAGCTTGGACTAGGAGACAAGGAAACAGTCTCCGCTACATTATGAAATTGCAGAACTGTTGCACTGTATATATGATAACAAGGTAGTATCGGAGTTGGTGTCGTAGTTTAACATTAGCTATCAAGGTATACTGAATTACCGAAACGTCGTCAGCAACTGCACTAGGATCCATGGGTGGAACAATGACCACATTTTGACGGAGTTTATTGCCAACTCAAGAACACTAAGGTTCGATAGAGTTCGATAGGACTTAAGTAGATCATTATAAGTGGGTACGAAGAGATTCAATAAGTATTACACTTTTGATGGTTATCATCCAGAATTTAGTGTCAAGATTAATTCTAGAAGGAAGTTTGAGAATTTCTGCTTCAGACAGAATGAACGTACTAAGAGATGTGACTTGGCGTAACACCTAGGACTATCACGGTGACTGACGTTTTGAGAAAACTTTCTGCCCATGCTGAATGTGGTATCTCACTGTAGTGAACATCTGTTATTCCACTCAATTTTATACATGACGAGATATCACATGTTGAGCAGAGCTCAGTAGTTGGTGCACATAATTCATTTTTTCTTGTCTTTTATCTTCTAACTTCTCCGCACTTTGAGTGATGTTCGCCTGCCATTTGAAGATTTCGTGTTCTCCATGAATGTCGTTGAATGCTGGTCGTACAGATAAATTCCCGATCTGGTGCGATGTAGAATAGGGCTTTTCATGTATTTTTATGTATTGCTATTAATGGTCAACTAGGGTTTCAGTCGATTGGCTTCCTCTTATGCATCATCGACGAAGATCGAACTTTTTACGTGTGGGTTCCACTGCTGTCTAAGGATTTATGTCTTTGTTACGGATGTCATTAAATGCTGGTTAAATCGAATCTTAATAAAATCTTGAGATAACTGTCATAGAGCACTACGACGCACATTGGAGGGAGTGATCTTGTCCTAGACAATTATAGCACCGATTTTGCGACTCCGGAGGGATGAGAGGCCTGGTATCCTCAGGGCTAGGGTCCAACCAATATCGTGCTCATGATGGACGGCATCACTAACATTGTGTATTCTTTCTTCGATGAGCTTCATTGTGCTAGTTGCCCCCTTCCTAGTTTATAGCGAATATCTGACCATGACTAAACCAAAAAGTTGTAACTGACGTCGTAAATTTGCAAAATTCCACCTCGGAAGGATGTACTAACAACTATGTCATCGAGGCTCTGATTAACTTCAATGCATCAATACTCGATAAGTACCAAAACAGTCTACTTCAATTAACTGCTTTTGCGTTAAATTTATGAATAAGAATCATTTGACGTACCTTGCATTGAATCTATTGCTGTGTACTCGTTCTCAAGATACGTAGTCATGGGTATGCCAAGCATGAACTCCCTAGCACGTAAGACATTCAGCATATTCTCCTCGTTCGACTTAATAGATATCACCTGAATTTATAATCCAATAAGTTTGCTATTTTTGTGGACAAAAATGAAAGTTTCCAGAAAAAATTAAGCGTATGGGTTGCAACAGGGTAGTGAACAAAATCTCCTATGAGCACAGCTGGGATTTGACTCAAATGATAATGGACTACGA